TTTAAAAAATCAACATCAGACAAGCTTTTCTTTAAGTCAACCAAAGTTCTTTTCCATCGCTTAGGATAATTAATTGCTAAATTTATTGCCCAAAAATAAATTTTAACACCAATCCCACCCTGCAGTATTAAAGCCATCTTTTGATCAAATGTAAAAAGTTGCTAACTGACTCAGTATAGCATTCAACTGCAAAATCTGCTTCTCGAAGAAATCATATAGCTCATAGAACAAAAATACAGAATTTACCATAGATTGAATTCCATCAATACATAATGTCAAATATCAACAAATAGTATTTATGGTCTATGTACAAGTTTTGACACCCTGCATCGTAATCCTTTTCTGACCATAAAAAAAATAATAATACATATCGATAGAATGGGATAGCAAATATACCACCGAGTCCCCGAAAGATTTGATTTACCACATCGAACCTTGAGAACAAGATCGTACCATGTGGAACCATGTATCTACCAAATATTTCATCAGCAAACAAGGAACAATGCCAACATATATACAATCAAAGACCCACAAGGATTTCCATTTAGGCCACTTCAAGCATAATTATATGCGAGCAAATCAAGAACTAGCACTGTAGTTTGCAGTAAAGATCTCGAAGGGCAGCATACAATGGTTCAGCAGCCTTCGGTCTATCCACAGTCCCAAGAAGGATATCAGCTGTAGTAAGGTATGGATCACCATAAAACTGAAGATTCGTATCCATCCTTGTCGCAACAATGTTTCCTTCCAGTGAGACTCCCACAAACGCAATCAAGGCATCCATAACAGTTACATGAGGAACTACTATTGATCAGTTTCTGAACAAGCATAAGAATGATAAATGAACTATTCAGTAGCAGAAATGGAGGGTGAGTCCAAGCAAACCAACTGCTATTTCATAGAAGTAGAACATAATATATTATCAATAAGTTGGTTAAATTTTAACACCATTATAATTGTTAAATAAAACAACGCTGATATACCAGTGTCATCATACCCATTATTAAATTTCAGAATGGAATTATGCAGCTAACCAAAAATAAATCCCCTAACCTAATAGCCCCCTGATGGCATTTGCACCGAGAACGTCAACCTCACAGAAGACGGATTCCTATTTATTAGTTTATTCCTCTGGAGCTTAAATAGCTAATAACTTGATTTGGGTTTGTCTTTGGGCAAGATGAACATGACTCTAGAAAAAGAAAAAGAAATGTTGCAATCCATGTCCAAAGCAAGGTTCCTTAACTAGTTTTGATTTCTTCTCATTTTTGTTAAAACCAGTCCATGTGATAATTCTAATACAAACCACAAACTGGCAATACAACAGATTTAAAGTACTTTGATTTCCAAGACAGATAAGAAATTGAAATGTATTACCTTTACTGCAGCTGTAAGTGTAACACATGCCAGAACCTTTCTCTCCAGCTCGCAAATCGGCCTCCACAACTCTCCCAATTGGTCCTGCTGCAGCACTGCAACCCGCACCAAGAGAAAAATGCAAGCGACTACAAAATGTTTTCACGGCTTTAGAGTCATGTAACATGATAATGAAATCTATGAGTTCGCCCCCAAACTGTGATTAGGAAAAAACACGATAATCATCAATAACAAATTATCAAAACTCACATATCATGTGATGAAATCACTCAAAGTGCTTCCTTGATATAAGTTTAAAACTTTTTAAAATTTGCTAAACCATTAAAATTATAGACAGCAACTTTGCCAAGTAAAGGATTGGAGAATCTACTAAGCATAAACAAATCATTAACTAAGAAAAGGATTAGATTAATCTAAATTAAGAACAATTCTAGAATTTTATGACGGCTGTTCCAAATAAATACCTATTTCAAGGGCTACTTCTTAAAAGAATAACTTTCGAATTTAACTAAGATCTAAAGTTTCTAATCAAAAAGTAATAGAACGGAATAACAACAATAATGGAAACGAATAACAACAATAATGAAATAACAGTTCAAATACATAATTAATCCTGAACAAAAATCCCAATTAGACACTGACCCAACTCAAATTCAACTCCACCGATAAATAAGCATCAAATTTGAGCTCAACAAGGATCGTAAATTAAACATACCTTCTCGAGTCTATCACCCCCAAGATCAGCACCCTCGAGAGCTTTCTTCCCAGCTACAATGCAGTATGTGCCCGTGGTGTGGGTGTTCGACGGCTTAGGTGGCGGGTGGTGGAGGAAATGGAAAAAGAGGCGTTTTCCGTGTTTTCATTCCATCGCCTCCCCACGCCAACGCCCGTCTGGCACTGGCGCATCTCCTTCGTCGCCGGTTGTAGTGTTTGAATGGGTCGTCGTCGGGGTCGAGAAGAAAGAAGGAAGAGAGGGGATTGGAAGAAGAGAGAAGGAAGGGAGTGTTTTGTGCGTTTTCTGTAGAAGAATGAAGGAAGAGACGGGATTGGAGATTGGAAGAAGAGAGAAGAGTGTTTTGTGCTGTTTCCCGTGTTTTTCAATTTTTTCCTTGTTTTGTACAGAAAACGCCCAAAACGTAAAAAATGACGTTTTGTGTTTTCAGTACAA